ATATTGTTTATTTCTGCTCTGATCTTTATTATTTCTCTTCTTCTGCTGGGGTTAGGCTGCCTTTGCTGTTCTGCTTCTATTTCCTTTAGGTGTGCTGTTAGATTTTGTATTTGGGATTTTTCTTGTTTCTTGAGATAGGCCTGGATTGCAATGTATTTTCCTCTCAGGACTGCCTTCGCTGCGTCCCAAAGCGTTTGGATTGTTGTATTTTCATTTTCGTTTGTTTCCATATATTTTTTAATTTCTTCTCGAATTGCCTGGTTGACCCACTCATTCGTTAGTAGGGTGTTCTTTAACCTCCATGCTTTTGGAGGTTTTCCAGACTTTTTTCTGTGGTTGATTTCAAGCTTCATAGCATTGTGGTCTGAAAGTATGCATGGTATGATTTCAATTCTTGTAGCTTATGAAGGGCTGTTTTGTGACCCAGTATGTGATCTATCTTGGAGAATGTTCCATGTACACTCGAGAAGAAAGTATATTCTGTTGCTTTGGGATGCAGAGTTCTAAATAGATCTGTCAAGTCCATCTGATCCAATGTCTCATTCAGGGCCCTTGTTTCTTTATTGACCGTGTGTCTAGATGATCTATCCATTTCTGTAAGTGGGGTGTTAAAGTCCTCTGCAATTACCACATTCTTCTCAATAAGGTTGCTTATGTTTATGAGTAATTGTTTTATATATTTGGGCGCTCCGGTATTCGGCACATAGACATTTATAATTGTTAGCTCTTCCTGATGGATAGACCCTGTCACTATTATATAATGTCCTTCTTCATCTCTTGTTACAGCCTTTAATTTAAAGTCTAGTTTGTCTGATATAAGTATGGCTACTCCAGCTTTCTTTTGGCTTCCAGTAGCAGCAACATGCATTTCCTAAGATGAATGGTTAGTAGTAGATTTGCACTCCCTAAGACATGAGACGTGGTTAAGGTTATGATCTGGAAATAAGGCAGTCCATGATAATGAAGCTCAAAGATCCCCTGTTGGGCTACATTGTATCTTGGAATTGATGTGGAATATTATTTGCCTAAGTGTACACATGGCATTTATTTAAAGCAATAATAAATAATAGATTCAGAGTTCATCTGTGGGAAAAATGCCAATTTTTTTCTATGAGTATTTAGTGCATCCTGATACTAAAAGGATTTAAACGTGTTATTTTATTAAGACTTGGTCTCTTGCCAAATGAGAGTAATTTTATGTTAGTTTGAATAAATCTTACCACATAGTTATTTAATTATGAAGGAGATGTTAAAAAATATAAGAGATCACAAACTTCTCACTGAGTTGAGGGAACTAAGCTAGTTAAAACCATATCTCTAATAAAAAGAGAACATCCTGAAGGGTTTCACAGAGAACAGCAATTCATACAGAGTTCTCTTTCTGTATTTGGGTGCCTTATGGTTTTCATTCAAGGTGACAGTACGTTCTGGATGCTGTATAAGATACGGAATTAAGAATGTCTAAAAATATGAATTTTGCAGTATTCAGGCTCATAATAAAATTATTATCATTTATGTGAGCATCTATACAAGAATGAATTCTTTTTTTATTTTTTTTAATTTTTTTTAACGTTTATTTATTTTTTTTGAGACAGAGAGAGACAGAGCATGAATGGGGGAGGGGCAGAGAGAGAGGGAGACACAGAATCGGAAGCAGGCTCCAGGCTCTGAGCCATCAGCCCAGAGCCCAACGTGGGGCTCGAACTCACGGACCGTGAGATCGTGACCTGAGCTGAAGTCGGACGCTTAACCCACTGAGCCACCCAGGCGCCCCAAGAATGAATTCTTATAGTCACAGGATAGAAGCTTGATTCTCAGAGAGGTCAACTGCAGAAAGGCATTAATCTACCCTCTAGTCCCCTTTGCCATCTGTGAAGAGATAGGGAAAACCTTTGGTTTGGAAATAGATCTGAGAAAAAAGAAACATAGCTTGAGTATCTTTTGAACTTCCCTCAAAAATGATTAAAGATGAGAAAAATCTTAAAATTGGGGTAATACAAAACAAAACAAACAACAAAAAAAGAATGTAAACATCTTACGTTAGGAGGCAATAGTTTGGTTGAAATTAGTTGCCTGGTGCCATTTATTTTGCAAGGGGTCATCTCCATAGCAAGCTGGGACCTGCCCCTTCTGGGGGAAAAGAATCTTAAGGCTGCCATCAGCTGTGAATTAGATTATAGAGGCATCAATCTTATTAAATACTAAGAGAAAATTCTAGTTAATATGAATTTCAACACACCAACATTCTCCACTTTTTCTGGGAAAGATTGTTAGATTCAGTATGGCTCAAAAGTTACCATCGAGCTAGGAAGCAGTAAAGTGGTTAAGAATTCAGCTTACACTGCAAAATGTTAGCACTGTAAAGTATGCCGGAAGTGACATCATTGCCCAGGTCTATAAACATTGGCGATTTTAGGCCCCTGTAGGTAAATAATTACTACACAATGAGCCAAATTATTTTTTTAGATACGTAAGCACAAACACCCCTTAGCTGGGAATTTAATGAATCAGTTCTGATATTGGTAATGGTCCACAAATGATGTATTTTAGGCAAAATCTTAAGTTCGAAAGATGAGAGATAAGTTTCTGCTCTGGAAGTTCATTAGGATTGCACCAGCTTGGGAATTAGAAAACATGGCATGGCTTATACCTTGTTTGTTTACAGAGCATTGCATATATTTGTGTATTTCACTTATCATCTGCTTTTTAAGGTACATGTGAAATATAAGGGGAAAATGTATGTATTGGTTACATTATTAGTTATGTTACTAATTAAATTAACTATACTAAACTACCAGTTGAAAGTCAGTGAGATGAGTAGATTCAGTGGGAGTTCACAGGAAAGAAATGTAATTCAAAGTAATGATGTCAGGAAATTTACCAAAAGAATGTACATTTATTTATTTATTTATTAAATTTATTGATTTTGAGTGAGAGGGAGAATGAGCCGGGGAGGGGCAGAGAGAGAGGGGACCAGAGGATCCAAAGCAGGCTCTGTGCTGAGAGCAGAGAGCCCAGTGCAGGGCTCAAACTTATAAAACGTGAAATCATGACCCAGGCCAAAGTTGGACACTTAACTGAGTGAGCCACCCAGGTGCTCCCAAGAGAAGGTATATTTAATTATGGATTGAAAAACAAAACCCAAAAACCTTTTAAGAAGATTTAACATGAATCAGCAAGGGAAAGAGTACAGGCAAAGTCAGAGAAAGGGAAATCTAATGAAATGCATGCAGAAGAATATGGCTGAACCCAAACCCAATATTATCCATGTTATGGACTGAATGTTGTGGTTCCCCCCTCAAAATTCATATGTTGAAACCCTTCCTCTCAGTGTGATAGTATGGGGAGGTCAGGTCTTTGTAAATTAATTAGGATTAGCTGAAGTCATGAGGGCGGAACCTTCGGGAATGGGATTAGTGCCCCTGTAAGAATCCCAAGAGAGAGCCTGCTTCTCTCTGCTCTCTGCCATTAGAGGATACAAGGAGAAAATGGCCACCTGTAATGTGAAAGAAGGCTGTCACCACAACCCAACCATGCTGGCGCCCTGCTCTTGGATTTCCAGCCTCCAGAACTGTGAGAAAAACATTTGTTTTTTAAAGCCACCCAGTCTGTGGTATCCTTTCATAGCCTGAATGGACCAAGACAGTCTAAGAGTTCTTGATATCTATGAATAGTATTTTGTTTAGGGTAACTTTTTGCATGTCATTTAGCTTCTCTTTGTAGATGTTAGCATTTTTTGCTTACTGATTATATTGGCAGAAAAGGTAGATTACAAATTTTTAAAAACAGAAGACATGTATTGTATAACAAAGATATACACATTTTGCATGAACTCCTATTTTCTCTATTGATTCAAAAGCAAATCTTCATTAGTGATGACTAATGATGCAGGTGCATTGCATAAGTGATGTATCTGTTTATTCTTTTCTTTGATGTTGGTAATTTTGAATTTATATATTTTCATAGAGTGACTGTGGCTTTATATGTTATGAGGTGTTTCTTCTTTTGCCTTTCAGCTAAAGTGAAATATCTGTAACTATTTTCAGCATTACTTCTCTTATCTGTCACATCCCAAAATGTTTAGATTTATGTGGGCAGTTTTCTGCCCTTGTGTTCTGAATATATTTTTTATTTAAAAAAAATTTTTTTTTCCAACGTTTATTTATTTTTGGGACAGAGAGAGACAGAGCATGAACAGGCGAGGGGCAGAGAGAGAGGGAGACACAGAATCGGAAACAGGCTCCAGGCTCTGAGCCATCAGCCCAGAGCCCGACGCGGGGCTCGAACTCACGGACCGCGAGATCGTGACCTGGCTGAAGTCGGACGCTTAACCGACTGCACCACCCAGGCGCCCCTGAATATATTTTTTAAACTTACAAATGAGTATCTATTGGAGCTTATAAAAGTAACAAACACGGTGTCATTATTATACAGTAAAAACTCAGAATATAGTTCACTGACTGCTTCCAATAATGCAATAGACTATACTTAGGGCAAAAGTTCTTCCTTAAAGGAAGAATCTTGTAGTCACATTAAAGTATCTTAAGTGTATGTGTGTGTGTGTGTGTGTGTGTGTGTGGTGTGTGAATTCATATATTTTTTTTATCAAAGTCACTAAGGATAATATATTCTTTGAACATTTATTTACTTATTCATTTTACTTATGAAAGTACTTGATACATATTAGTTAGTACAATAGTCACTCCTTATCTGTGGGAGGTATGTTCCAAGACCCCCAAAAGGATGACCTTGGATATTACTGAACCCTACATATACTCTATTGTTTCCTGTATATATATATATATATATATATATATATATATATATATATATACACCTATGATAAATTTTAATTTATACATTAGGCATAGCCAGAGATTAACACCAATAACTAATAATAAAATAGAACAACTGTAACAATATACTAATATACTATGATCAAAGTTATGTGAATGTGGTCTCTTTCTCTCTTTAAAAATATCTTCCTACACTATACTCACCATTCTTGTGATGGTGGGGATGAGAAGATGCCTATGTGATGTGAGGAAGTGAGGTAAATGACATAGGCATTGTGACATAGCGTTAGGGTGCTATGAACCTTCTGACAATTCGTCAGAAGCATTATCATGTGCTTCCAGACCCTGGTTGACCATGGAAAGCAAAACCATCCATAAGGGAGGGGGGACTACTATATTTGTTCCAGTGCATATTAGGCACTGTGGGAGGGTTAGAAATGAAAAGGTGAGTGAACAAAAGTTGCTATTCTGAAGGAGCTACATGCAATTATTTGGCAGTTGACCTGATTCCGAGTTGAAAAGTTCTTGCCTATGTCAGGATCCTATTCCCGCCTGGTTGAAATAAATTCAGAGCACATTTTTCATAATTGCAGCATAAGTGACAGCTTCCAACCTTCTTGAAAACAAAAGCCAAACTCTTTATACTGGCAAGCAAAAGAGTGATGATGTGGCAGGTAGGGGAATCGCAAAGGGCCCGAGAAAGATTTATATTGCTTTTTACTAAATTTGGATAAAAGTTCAATAGGAATTAAACTCTTTTCCTCTAAGCACACTGTGGGGAATTATGAAAGACAAGGCTAAGCTATGCTGAACGTGGCAGCTTATTTATTGTTTTATAGATTTCTATTCAGAGAAGGACACAACCAGTAATGCACTTGCCGCTGTTTCTCATCTATTTTGTCTTATTTCTGCTTGTGCAGATCCCACTGCATGTATCTTGTCGAATTTGAGTTTTATGGTCCTTCAGATTTAGTGGGAATTTGAAAAACAAATTAAGTTGTACTTTTCAGTTCCAAACCAACACAGAGGGAATGTATTAGGAGTTTGATACAAATGACCTACCCTATTTGTAAAATTATCTTTTATTATAAGTCAATGGTGTTCAACCAAGGGTGATTCTACCTCCCAGGGGCCATTTGGCATTGTCTGGAGACATTTTGCTCATCACAACTGGAGGATGTTGCTGGCATCTAGTGGGTAGAAGCCTGGGATGCTATTAAACATCCTCCAGGGCACAGGCTAGTTGTTTCCCAACAAAGCATTATCCACCCCACTGTCAATAGTGACAAATGAAGAAACTGACATAGATAAGGCCTCCAATAGGCAAACAAGTGCATCACTTCTTCTGTTGAGTCAGTTTGATAATGGACAGCTTCCCCCCGCCCCTTTTTTTCACTTTTTATTAATTCTTCCTCTTAGTTGTGGGCTGTTTATACAGACTACTTGCAAATCTAGAATAAATGTAGAGTAAGAGAAGACACTGACTTATGGTGATAAAAGGTACAGTATTAACAGCAATACTTCTAAAGTCAGATGGCTGAGGTTGAGATCCAGATCTCGCTGGATGTTGTGACCATGATAATAGTACATTCCTGTATCTCAGTTCTCTTTTCTTTTAAAATGTCTGCTATAAAATGCATCCCATTGGGTTTTGTAAAAATTAATTGAAACAGGACCATGATGGAATAACTTGTAGCAGACCACCCTCATCAAGAACAACTAGAAAAACTGAATAAAAATGTACTTTTTGAACATACTGGAAAGCTGCCAAATGAGTCCGAGGTTGTAGGGCCAAGATCTCTGAGAGAAAGAAGTTTATTAAAGAATTCTCTATGCTGATTTTCTCTCCTGGACAGTCAGTGAATTAATTACAGAATAGCAGAAGATTCAGAATCCAGGCAAAAAACTGGCAGACCTTTTGATAATGTCATAAGACTAGGAAGGTAGAAATTTGAATCTGGGGCTTTCAAGGCAGGGAGGACTTGAAGGAAGTGAGGCAGAAGACGGAGGGCAGTCACTCTAAGCTTTGCCCATGGAGGCATCTGCCATTCGTAAGATGTAGCGTGAGGGCTTTAAGAGATCCTGCAGAAAGGAGCTGAAAGCCTAAACAGAAGTTTTAATAGCCTTGTGCTCCTACAGAGAGAAAAAGTGGAGCTCAGGACTGACCCGGAGGAGGGATTAGAGTAGGTTAAATACTCCTTAAAGGCTGTACCCTACCAACAAGGTGAGCAAGAGTTGAACCGAACCTCATAAGGTCAGTGGCTGCAGCTCAAAGCAGAATTTTGGAGCCTGTGCTAGATGTGGGGAGCATGCATGTAGGGGAGCAGTAGCAACCCAGAGAAGCCTTTCAAAGACCTAGTGAATGAGGGGGTACCTGCACGGGATTAAAGACAACTGCACAGCCCAGCACTGACGTCGGAGCCCCATGGGGTGAGGGGGAAGGGTACCTATAAAAGTAGGAGAGTCAACTGTAGTCCAGAGGTACTGGAGCCAAAGCAAAGTGAGAAGGGTACCACGCAGATCAGAGCATCGGTGTCTGAGGAGTGTGAGAAGCTTCTTCACTGGGAGGTAGTGGTGGACACAGACTTGTGTTGAAAACAACGGTGGAGGGATGATCAGTTAAGTAAACTGAAGGCGATGTCAGCCAGGTTTCTTACTGTCAGAGAAAGGAATTATAAAAATGGGAAGGGGGGCGGCCCCTGGGTGGCTCAGTCGGTTGAATGACTGATGATTTCGGCTCAGGTCACGATCTCATGGTTCATGACAAATAAATAAACTTAAAAAAGTGGGAAAATCTGAAAGACTCCTGTGGTGTTAAATTATATTTGGAAGTATTAAATTGTAATTGGTGTGAACTCATAGTTCATATCAATGTGTGTGTGTGTGTGTGTGTGTGTGTGTGTGTGAGGGTGTGTGTTTCTGAGTAATATGCATGTGGGTATGTGTGTATATGTATAGATGTATATATTTATAAGGGTATGAGAAAATATCCATTATATCTACATATATATTATACATTTTATATTCATACATATATGATATATATAATGTACATGTTTTAGACACATATATTTATATGTGTATAAATGTGTGAGAAAATATGTATATATACATATGTAGGCATATCTATATCTTTATTTTCTATCTCTGACCTAATGAATCAAACAAACAAATAAAAAACCCAGTAAAAAGAGCCACCAGAGGGAAGGGAAACAACACTGTACCTCAACGAAGCAACAATAAATCTGATAGATTCTCTACAGAAACAATGCAACACAAAGGACAATTAAATGATATATTTAAAATGCTAAAAATTTAGAATCACAAAGTATGTAAATAATGCTACCTTTTTCAAAAGAAATCGTGGCCCAGAGTTTCTCTCTTGATCTGGCAACAAATATCCTTCACTCATTAAAGTTCACTTTGAGTCAAGATTATATTTGACATTTAGTACTTCATGCTACATGGAATCAGAAAAAATATAATTTTTAACGATACTATTTGCAGTAGCATTACAATTCGAACACCCAGAATTAGTAAAATGTGTGTACATTGTATCTTAATGTATACAAAACTGTTACGCAGAAATCTACATTAGTTACTTTCAGTAATTTCCTCCTTTCAGGGGGAAATAGTTGTAAACAAACTGTGGTATAAATCATGTCCACAGATTGTAAGAGGCAATATTGTAAAGATGTTAATACCCCCTGTTTCTTTGTAGATTCACTGAAAACCCTTCAAAGTCCTAGCACTGTTAATTCGTCATTACTGACAAGCTGATTCTAAAATTTTAACATAAAGGGCCAAGAACTGAAAATATCATCTTGAAAATGAACAAAACTAAAAGGTTTGCATGAGCAGGTATTGACACTTATTTATAAAACAACAACAGTGACAGTGGTTTTGGCACAGGAATAGACAAATCAATAGAATAATGTCCAGAAACAGAACACACATAATCACTTGATTTGTGACTAATACAAAACTGTAGGATATAGAAAGAATGACCTTTGAAATACTTCCCTATAAATATCAATCTATATTTTTCCAAATTCATATATAAATAAATCATGGAGTATGTAAAAGCTTTACACCACCTACAGAAAATAATTCCTGTTGTATATGTAAACATAAAGGGTAAAAGAAAAAAGCTTTTATAAGATAATGGAATATCTCCATGATCTTAGACTAGGTAAAGATGTGTTTATCAGGACATAGTGCAGAGCCATGATACCAAAATATGAAAAATCTACCTATATTTAAGAATTCTTATTTATTAAAATATAACATTTAAAGAGTAGAAAGCCTTAGAGTATATTATGTACATATACGTATTATTAATAACTTGAACACACACAGTTCAAAAAAAGGATAAACGTTCTCAACCCCTGATATAAAAAGATAAATAGTACCAAGGTTGATGTCCCACCAGTGGTGAAAGTATAAATTGGTGCAACCACTTCAGAAATCTCTTAACAGTATCTACTAAAATTGAATATATATGAATGCTCATAGCAACATTATTACTTGAAGTCAAAATTTTAGAAACATCCAAATATCCATCGCTAGGAGACTGGATAAGTAACCTCTGTAATATTATCCAGTGAAATACTAGAAGAAATAAGAATTTAAAATTATGCCTACACACAAAAATGTGGGTGAATTTCTTAAGTTCAATGTTGAATGAAAAATTATTTCAGTCACACTATCATACATAACATAATTCTACCCATGGTGATAGAAATCAGAAGTATAGTTGCTAATATAGCAGAGTTAATGGTTGAAAGAAAATATTAAGTTGCTTTAGGAGTACTACTTATGCTCTGCTTCTTAATATCGATGGTTGTTACAGAGCATGTATATTTGGTGAAAAGTCATGGTCTCTCCACTTTTGACATGCATTTTTTGTATATATGCTGTACTTCAATAACATTTATTTAAAATTAAATGGAATAATTCACTTAGTATTTTTAAACCCATAAATAATGCAAGAGTATAGATATTGGGACATACTAAGTGCTCAAGAAGTGGCCATTGTTATTATTATTATATTTCTTTAATTGATATAAGGCAAAATACATGTGGATACATTTCTAGATAAAAGAACAGGTTTTCATAATTCTAAGATTTGAGTGCAGACGTTTTTTTTTTATTTTTCTTGGTAAGTCAAAGGTTTTGGGCTTTGCTATTTCAATCCCAATATATAATTTTCTCTTTTGCAAATCTGCGTTTTATT